GTGCCACCCAGACCCTCCCCACGGCTCTGCACACCTCCTGGCATGTTTCTATGCAAGAAACAGGCATGGCTGGGTGAAAAACCAGAAAGACCCAAGGCGTCAAGCTATGGGTTGATGAACAGGACAGAGTGTTACTCACAGGGAAGTAAGATCAGAAGCAAAAGAGATCTCAACATGCAGGACTTGTGCATGTTCTCCATTGCAGCCCCCCAGTATACCCTCTAAGCTTATACCATACCTGCCCCATGCAGAGCCCTGGGCATGTCCTCTGTCTTGGAGCCCAGCTGGGCCACCCTGGCCCAGAAGGCACACAAAGCAGCCTCTCTCCTATCACCTCCTTCAGTCTCTGCAAGGGTATTTGAGATGCCCCAGCCTATTGTGCCCCTTGATTCTGTGGCCAGACTGAGTCCATGGGTGAGAGGACAGCAAACCCAGCATTGCTCCTGAAGCATTCTCGCTCCTCTGGCAAGCCCACACTGGGCTCTGTGCTTTGCTCACCCTCAGGTATGACCCCAGAGGTGATGGCCATGACCCACTGGAGAACATGGAGTGCACCGCCTGCAGCAGAGCTGGGATGGGCCAAGCCAGGTAGGCTCTATGCCTTCCTCAAGCCCTGGACTGGGGCAGAGTTGATCCCCATTGCTTCATCCACACCAGCCACACTCAGCACCCCCAGCTGCTTCCCACCTCCATGGTGTCTTGCAGACATCCAGCGTGTGTGTCCAAGATAAAGCAGAGGAGCAGCTGGGAACAGGGGCTTTGCACCCCCTCAGCTCAGCCTCTGCGTCTTGGCCCAGGAGGGACACCAAGTTGCTGGGGTAAGCCAAGCCAGGAGCCCGATTTCGCGCTCCCCAGCTCGACCTCGACGGGGAGAAGAGCCCCCGCAGCAGCTGGGGAGCCCGGCTGTCCCCCCGCGATGCCCAAGCACGGCCGTTCAGGGCCGAGGAAAGGCGGCCGGCAGCCGAGCGGCGCCGGGGCTGCCGGGGCTGCCGGGGCTGCCGGGGCTGCCGGGGCTGCCGGGGCTGCCGGGGCTGCCGGGGCTGCCGGGGCTGCCGGGGCTGCCGGNCTGCCGGGGCTGCCGGGGCTGCCGGGGCTGCCGGGGCTGCCGGGGCTGCCGGGGCTGCCGGGGCTGCCGGGGCTGCCGGGGCTGCCGGGGCTGCCTCCCGCCGGCGGCGGAGCCGCAGCGCCGGCGGGGCCGGGCCGCGCCGGGCGGTTCGCGGGCGCCGGGCGCCCTCTTGTGCGCGCAGGGACGCAGGGCCCGGGGGAGCGCCCCTGCCGGGCCCGGAGGGGCTGCCTCTGCGAGCGCAGCACGCCGGGCAGCCCCGGGAAAGAGCAAACCCTGAAAAGCCGGGAGAATCCGCTGTGATTCCGCCCGTCATGACACACCACCTGCGGGCCGTCTGGGGGTACCTGCCGCCCTGTGCCCTGCTTCAGGGCTTGCTCCTAAAGAGAACAGCATCGCTCTGCTCTACAGAGTGCTGGCGGGGCATCACCCCACACTGGGCATCGAATTATTGAAAGGTTTGCTTTGGAAGGGATTTTTGATATAACTCAGTAGATCAGGTTGCTCAAAGCCCCATCCAACCTGGTATTGAATGCTTTCAAGAATGGAACATCCATAACTTCTCTGGGCAACGTATTCCAGTGCCTCAACACCCTCATAATGAAGACTTTTTTTCTAGCAGCAAATCTAAATGTTGCCTCTTATAGTTGAAAAACATTTCCCCTTGTCCTATCACAACCTGCCCATATAAAAAGCTGTTCTCCCTCTTTTTAATAAGCCCTCTTCAAGTACCAGAAGGCTGCAATGAGGTCACTCCAGAGCCTTCTCTTCTCCATGCAAAACAATCCCATCTCTCACAACCTGTCTTTGTAGGAGATGAGCTCCAGCCCTCTTATCATCTTTGTAGCTCTCCTCTGGATCCCCCCTAACACGTTAATGTTTTTCTTGTGCCAAGCAGCCCATATTTTGATGCAGAACCCCAGATGGGCTCTCATGAGGTCATTTCACTTACGCCCCAGCAGCAGTATGTGCTGGGCCATCTCTGTGTAGCTGCATGGCACAAACCAAAGCCTCAATGGGAAGAAATGGGGACAGTAAGCCTTGGGACAGGCAGAAGGCAGAGTCAGGCAACCTACAGTCACCAGCGTGCCTCGAGACTACTCAAAAGCCTCTAAGCGTAAGGAGATAATCCTTCATTTTGGCCACTCCCCTCCCTGAACTCTCTGCAGCTTTGCTCACCATCTCCAAGGGAGCTGGGCAGCAGTGGAAGTCCCAGTAGAAGGGCAGTCCTGACAGCTCGCTTTTCACGTGCAGCCTGAGGCCATTGGGAGAGCGGTGGCAGGAGAAGGCAGTGGTGGCACCCGGCTGCCCTGCCAGCAAGGGGCACATCAAGTTGCACAAGTGGTTCAGGAAGGAGGACACGTGGACTGTCAGCCGCTTGTTCAGCTCCTGGGAAAAGGCAAGGTTAGAGGACATGGCACAGCACTGGGGAAAAGCCAGCAGAAATCCCAACACCAAAGGAGTCAAACTACTGCATGTTCCACAGCAAAAAGCCATCCCTGGGCCTTGGCTTCTAGCTCTCTGACATGACGTTCTTCACTGATTCTCCCAAGCCAGCCATGCTGGGAAGACTCCCATATCCTGCCAGTTCAGGATGGGCAGGGTGCAACAGTCTGCACTAGCACATCTGTTCTGCATGCCACCACAAGCACCATAGCCTGGCTGAGAGCAAACAGCAGGACAATCTGTCAGAGCTGGGGGATGGCTGCAGCCTTCTGTCCCTCCTGCCACCAGCCACTCAGCATTATGTGACAGAGGGACATGCCCCTCCAATGGCACATGAAGGCCTGGGCTCATGGGCTGAGGAGATGAGGCACAGCTCCATGCATTTTTGGGGGCCAAGCTGACAGGATGCCCCATGAGAGACTACCAGCTATGAATGTGAACAGAATCTCTCTGTCACGAGTAGAAGGCAGCCTTGTTTCAAGCTCCTCTTTAGTACATTGACCCTGGGAAAACCAGCTGCCCATCCAGCCCACAAGTGAAGAGACTGTGCCAGCCTCTGTATGCAGACCCACCTGGCTGCCCCAGGCGTGCTAAATAGTGTGGCCCACTCTCCTGGGAGAAGGGTGTTTGGCCAAATGGGGTGAGAGGGCTTGGGCAGAGCCACACAGGGACTTCCCAGGTTGGGCATTTGCACCCGACCCCAGTCAGACCCAACAGCCACTGTGTCACCAAGCAATTTATGCTGGTATGTCAGCTGCTGGGAGGAGAAAAGGAGGCCCCTGGCCTTTTCAGACACTCACCTTGGACCTTTGTCCCACAGCCTCGGCATCTGTACTCTCGTACCAGACACTGTTGAGGTCAGAGATCAGCAGGATATAGCCACTATCCCTGAAGCACACTTTGGCAAGAAAAGTGGACTCACCAAAGCGAACAGAAGCCCAGGGCTGGGTCAGGAGGCTGCTTTCCAGCTCCTCGGAGCCCTCCATCTGCAAGAGAGCAACCAGGTCTCCACCTCACCCCCCACCCAGGAAGACCTGGTTCCTGGGGTGGCCTCACAGGGGCCGTCAGTCCCGGCTGGCCCATTTATGACCTGACAGCACAGAAGTGAGGATACTCAGCCAGCTGAGGTCACACATGCAGCCGCAGAGCTGGGGCCTGAGTTTCGGGAGCTGCTGCAGGGCAGGTCCTGCCGCAGCTCACAACGAGCACCCCAGATGCACCAGCGGAACTGCTGCCTCCCCGGCTTATCCGCTGCTTGCTGGCGCTAACACGGCAAGACCTGCACGCCCAAATGACCACTCGGGCTGCCCCGCCGGCACCGGGCGGGCAGCTGGGTGCCGCACCCTCCTCCTGCTGCTGGGGCACCCATCCCTGCGCTCCCTGCGAGCCCGAGCCGTGCCTGCCTGCGCTGACACCCGGCAGACCGCCGGCAGCCCACGGCTGCTTCCCGCTCCTCCCTGGGACCGGCTCCACGCCTCCCAAAACACTCGGGGACCAGCGACCGCGGGGTGCCCGCAGGCCTGGGGCTCTGCGGAGCCGCAGCTTTACCGAGGGCTGGAGGAGCGGCCGCCGGGCGCTGCAGAGGCGCGGCGCGGCGAGCAGCGAGGCGAGGCAGACTACGGCTCCCGGCATGCCGCTCTCTTCCGCGGCGAGCGGGCCGGGGCACGCCGGGACGTGCGGCTGCTTGCGCTGCGGGAGCCGCCGTCCCTTCCTCGCGGCCCGCTGTGCTCGCTTCCTGCTCATACGGACGGCGAACCGAGCTGGCGGGCTCCTCCAGAGCGTCCGCGGGGGCTGCCACGGCCCAGGGGCTGATGGGGACCGAAATGCTTTAGGACTTTGTTCTGCGCTTGTGCCTGCTACGACCGGTCCTGACAGAGGTGCCCGGCTGGGTACAGGGCCCTGGACGGCCGGAGAGGCGGCGGCAGCGGAGCTCCCCCTGTTCCTTGGCCGCAGGTTTATTCCTCAGCCGCAGAGTGCCGGGGCAGGCACGGCCAGGGCACGCACCCGCACCGCTGCCCTGCCAGCTCGGCTGCTGCACCACAGCGAGCCCTGCACAGCTGGGGCTGCAGCTGCCTCTGTCCCCGCGCCTGGGCACTGGGCTCACAAGGTGACGCAGAGCAGCATTGTGCCAACTTGGCACACCACATAGCCCCAGTGCCCTCCACACTGAGGCCCACCCTTACCCCAGGCACCGATTTCCAAACCTCATCACCCATAGGCACAACTGGGACACAGTAGGGAGGAGATGGACAGCCAGTCGCTCCTGAGCACAGTGCCAGCAGGTGAGCATAGCCAGTGACAGTCCTCTGGGGCTGGCCAAAGCACTGAATCCTCCACATGTCATATCCTCAGGGTGGTGGTGGATTTTAGAGGTACCCACATCCTCACCTGCAGTGGCACCAGGTGGCCCTGCCCTCTTGTCACAGTCCTCAGGGCAACAGGGGATCCCCTAGGTAAATCCCATCTGGAAAGAAAACCCCTGGAAAAGGCATAGATGGCTGAAGGTTTTTATATCTTGCTCCCAAGCAGGGAAATTAGGTTTGTGTTAGGAGTGTGGAAGCTCAGGTTCCTCCAGGCCTTAGGGGCTTCAGAAATGAGGAGCAAAGTGTTTCACGAGCTGCCTTGAGGGCACACCTCAGTTTTCACATGAAGTGCCCCAGATGACATGGTCAGGCCACAGTGTTCCATGTAGGCATGTCTGTCTGGCTTGACCTTATTTCTGGCTGCAGCTCCCCAGAGCTGGTTTTGGGGAGCAGGTGTGTCCCTTCCCCTGGGGCAGCAGTCCCCTCCTCAGTGGCACAGCTTCCCTCCTCCTCTTCCTCACTCCTCGGGCAGAGGAAGCAGCACGGAAAGGCTTTGCAGGAAGATGGCAGCAGCCTCCTTAGCCCAGTGGGGAGCCTATATGCTTGGCTGGCTTCCCCTCTCTCTCCATGGAGGTGACAGTCACCAGCTCTGGCTTTCCATGGCTGCTCAGAAAGCAGCCCTCGTTCCTCCAGTGTTCCTGCAAGCAGAGAGGTAGGCAGTGAAATGGGAGCCCTTTCCTCCTAGCCCACACCAGCTCCAGCACCCTCAGTAGAAATGCCTGGAGGCAGAGCTGGTGATTTGCCCCATGGACAGATCCAGTCCTCAGAGCATGGCATATGCAGAGCACCTAAGGCAGCCCCTCACCTGAGACCGTGTTCTCCAGAAAAAATGACAAGAAGCCAGTTAGGAAGACAGGGACCATAAGCAGGGAGAGAAAGAGGAGATCCAATGGCACCCAGCCTGCAAGGACAGTGCCAGAATCAGCCAGGAGATCCCAGCCCGGCCAGGGATAAGGGGCATGAGCAGCCATGGCAGAATCAGGGATTGAAGAGGTAGCTGCCTGCTACCATGAGCTGACTCAGCCTCCCAGAACACTGGAGATGTGCAGTCACATTCCATGGGACTCAAGGCTTTGCCTTGCCTGGGGAATGTCCCTCATACCTGTGGCCAGGGGAGCCAAGGCCGTGCCGAACCACCGCGGTACCAGCAGTGCCATGAACATGGCAAAGCCAACAATGAAGATGTTCCTCCCTGAGTCAATGTCCGTGTACTGGAAGTAGGAGATCCCCGTGCCCACAGCCACGGCGTAGGTTACACAAAGCACCCCTCCTGCGAGGGGCAGGAGTCAGGAGGTGCCAGGCAGGCTGCAGGTGCCGCAGCAAGGGGCAGGGCAGGGCAGGGTACCCACCGTGAACTGCCAGTGGGATATGGGTGAGGAGCCCTGCCAGCCTCGGGGACATGCCCAGCACCATGCACAGCAGGGCACTTACTTGCACTGAGCGGCGAGAGCCAGCCTGGGAAAGAAGAGTGGGACAGTGAGGATGGGTAGCACCACCCCTGCTCTGTGTCCGCCTCCTTCTGCTGCACACACCTGCCTTTCCCAGCGCTGGCTCGGTGACAGCCTGGCAATTACAAGTCCCGCACACCTGCTCAACTGCCTCCCCATCCCTGGCCAGCCCATTCCCCTCCTTCGGCATACCTGCGTGAAGCCAGCGGCACAGGTGTTTGCGATGCTGGAGGCCGTGCCCCCTGCGGTGCCCAGCAGCCCTGCCAGGAGGCTGCCCAACCCTTCCATGCAAAGCCCCCGGTTACAGGCGTGAGGGGGTAGCCGGGGGACTCGCAGCAGCCTCCCACACAGCACATAGCAGCCCACAGAGTTCATGCTACAGCCGATGGCCATGGCGATGCCCACTGCCAGCGCCCGGGGGGTGAGCCGCGGCCACCTCCACGCTCCTGCAGCAGAGGGAAAAGGGACAGGTGATAGAAATCCTGACCAAACGTGGATGTCTGCACTCAGCCCTGCTGCCCCCACCTGCATGGGGGATGTGGATCCAAGGGGCATTGGAGGTGCTGTTGGCCCAGGACAGCTGTGCCACAGTCACATCCAGTGATTCCCAGGGAATGTGGAAGTAGCTGAGGATGGCACAGACAATACAGACACCAGCAAATGGGAGCAGTACCTGCAAGGCAAAAGGGGACCCTCAGCAGGAGACCCTCCTCCCCTGCCTGCCCTGTCACATCTGCCCTGTACCTCATCCTTGTCCTGTCACATCTCCCAAGGAGTCATACCCCTCACCCCTGCAGGAAGCAGCCCAAGCTGTTCTGCTCCAACACCCTAGGTCCCCAACACTTTCCCAGAACTATCCATGTTCTGGGAGCTGCACTGGAGCTTTTCATGCCTGCCTGCGCTCCAGGTCTCACCTAACTCCAAACCAAAGAGCCAGGCTTGGAGAGAGAAACCTGGTGATAGTGAAGAGAGCAGACAAACCACAGTACCGAGAATGTGCGCAGGGTGGGAACCGAGTACTCTGTGGAGCCCTCCCAAGCATGGGGTGAGGCACAGGAGGGCAGGTGGCAGGACTGCAGATGTTGCGAGAAGATGACAGCAAGGAGCATGAGCCTAGGAGAGTGAGCATAGGTCACCACACAGCATCACAGTCAGTGATGGGACCCCAGATGTGCACCATGCACTGTGGGGGTGCCCCATCCCTGTCCTGCTGGTGAAAGAAAGGCCCAGGAGCTGCCCACCACTGCAGTCCCTGGGCTCACATACAGCAGTGCTACTCCCCAGTTAGTGGAGCAGAAGAAAGCAGCTTCCTTGTATGTGGACAGCCCGATGATGGAGAGGCTGGGGGCCAGGACCATGGGCCCGCAGTGCCGCACTGCCCACCCACACACGCCAGACACTCCCAGCACCAACTGAATCAGACCAGAGATCAGCACTGCTCCAGAGACCTGTAAGAGGAAAGGATGGGCCTGTGGGGCAGGATACATGGAGAGCAGTCCAACACCTTCCCTTGGCCACATTCCCACCGCCCCAGCAGCTGGGAACAAGCGCTTGTTTCATGTGCTCTGCTCACCCCAAGCACATAGAAACATGGACATGCATCATGATCCCCAGTGCCTTTGCAACTCTCTTCATGGCAAATCCCAGGAAAAGAGACTGGGAGTACAGGGATATGGGTGACAAGTGGAAGGCTGATAGAGCAGGATAGGGACCCCTATTCCCAGGGACACCCACCTCTTGCAGTGAGTCAGCCCAGCTCCCTGTGTCTCTGCAATGAGGTACAAGGCATGTATTGGCCATGGCTGTGCCTGGAAGGGAATTTTGGAAGGGTGTGATACACATGGATCCTAGGCTCCTGGAGCTGTATCCAGGAGGATGCAGTAAGGTGACTGTTGGCTGCAGAAGGGGAAGCGTGCCAGTGTCTCTATCTCCATAAGCCCTGGCCCTGGGGAACTGACCAGATACATTGCAAGTGCACTCAGGAGTGAGTAGGGTGCTGTGCATCATCAAAGGCCAGCAGGCAGGACCCCTTGCTACCCCTCACCCCTACTCCACCTACCAGGCTCCTCATCATTGCCATTCCCCTAGCATGAGCATGGCCTGGGCCCCAAGGGACACAGGCTCCAGGGCTGTGCTTACCATTCCTCTCTGTGCTGGCACCAGGGGACAGGTGGGAGCTCAGCACCATGGCAGGGACTAAGTACTCAAAGGACGGGATTTGAACCAGCGGCAGCCTGAGGAAGGGGACAATGACAGCACATTAGGGAGGAAGGCCAGGGAAGGGAACAGGGTTGCTCCAAAAGCCCAGGCTGCCATAGGAACAGGGGTGGGAAGGGAAGCAGGTAAGAACCCCAAAGTGGCAGATTACCCCACATTCTACATATGCCCTAGTACATCCCAAGTGACAGCACATGAAGTGGATGCAGATGTCAGAGGGTGAATCCCATACCCAGCCTATGTGGGCAGCACAGGCATCAGATGGTCTGAAGGAGCTGTGTATGATGTTGGAGCAAGGCAGAGAGGAGCTAGAGGGAAAGCACACCAGTTTTTCTAGAGGTGTATGTGAGAGGGAGGGAACACCTGTGACAACTGTGCAGAGATACAGTGCAAAGAGATTTTCCTTGGGCCTCTTCCCACTTCCAGAAAAGCTCAACTTCCCACTTCCTAGGAGACAGATGTGCCCTGCCATGGCATCACCCTCCTCCTGTTGACAGCTGCTCCCCTTCATGCCCCTTGCTCACCGGCTCCCCAGGGTGGTCTGCAGCACTGTGGAGATGCCACAGGCAAAGAGGCTTCGTGCCAGGAGCTTGCTGGTGGTCTGGGCATGAGGTGGCTCCTGAGGCAGGGTGGGCAGCAGGAGGAGGTGGAAGATGCAGAGCAAGGAGGTCTGCACAGCCAGGTGCTGTGCAGGGAAGAGATGGAACACTCACAACTCCTTGCAACACCCAGAGCTGCAGTTCCCCATGCCCAGTCCCCCTGAGAGGGTGGATGCCCACTGACACCACCTGGGTAGCAATCACTGCTGCCCACTCCTCTCCCAGCACACACTGACCAGAGCCCTGTATACCCTTTGCCTGGCAGGATGCAGTCCCTGGCCTGCTGCAGTCCCTGATGCAATCTGAGAGGATCCCAGCTCTCTCCTCATCATCCCATCTCTCTGGCTGCTCACCATGGTCGCCCCCCCCCCCCCCTTACCTGAAGGGCTAAGCAGCAGCTCATCATCCAGGAGCACATCTTCTGGGAGGAGCAGGATGTGAGCATGGGGCTCCCAGCTCCAGGTGCTCTGCCATGGCCCCCATTCATGCTGCTGCCTTCCCCACACTGCTCCCAGTTTTCAGTGCAGAGGGTGGGCAGGTTCCCACCCTTAAGAGTTCCTCCCAAATCCTCACATGGCTGAACTTCCACCTTTTGCAGGAGCTGCCCCAGGATTAGCCATTAACTTGAGTTGGTTAGTAATCTGCCCTTGTGGCCAGGAATGTAAGTGTCACCCTGGTTTGTCACCACAAGAGCCAGGTGACAGGCAGCCACAAGCAGGCCATCTGACATTATTACAATGCCAACTACCCACAGCCTGGGTCCCAATCACTGCCTCTGTGGTCACTGGGTAGGCCACAGCCTTGATACCTCTCCCTCCATGGGCTTAGATTACTCCCACCAGCAGCATCCTCCAGCTTCAGTATGCCCTGCTCATGCTTGTTTCACCCCAGCATAGCATCTGCTGCCCTCCTGGCCCATCCTGGTCTCTAATAGAGGTCTACTATATCCCCTATTCTCCTAGGAGAGTACTGAATCCTGCCACTGGACAAGGATGCCAGGAACAGGAGCTGCCTGCTTGGCTGGAAAGAGATGCTCATGTTTTTGTCACGGGGCAGAGGTGGCTGTGTCAGTGACCTGGTCAAGCCCTTGCTGCTCAAGGCTCACTCATTAACAGGTAAGACTTTGGAGAGCAAAGAGCAGTGAAGAGAACATGCATTCCCTGCATTCCCAAGAATAGGGATCCTCCATTCTTCTCCTGCTGTCCCTGCATGCACCAGACCTGATATCCCACACGTCAAGAAAGACTGCCCAAGATCTCTTGGGCTTACTGGCAGCACCTAGGATTTGTCTTGCACAGCAGTTCCAGGAGCAGGCACAGCTGCATGGACGTGGCTCTGCTCTGGGGCAGGCATGCTGCCAGTATGGAGCAGCTCAGCAGGACGAGGCAGGCACACAGCAAGAACTACTTTTATTGGAAGAGATTTGCATCTACAAAAGAGTGAAAAACAGGTGTAAAATCCACAGTAAAAAGAAGGGGCATGATGAGCTAGCCTGGTCAGCAAGACAAGGTGCCTTCTTCCCACTCTGAAGAGCAGTCAGGCACTATTTTCTCACAGACACAGACAGCTGGGGTTTGGGATGGGGTCACAGAGCACCCCAGATTCAAAACACCCAACACAGCAAGATAAGGAAGTTCAGCCCTAACCATACCTCATCCCCACCAAGCCCAGTGGGGCACAGCCACACTGGAGTACCTGCTTATTGTCATTCTTGCAAGGTCCAAGAAGTAGCCTAAAAGACCCCAAATGTAAATACTGCTATGACCAGCCAGCTCACTCCCACCTCTCTTCAACCTCCTCTTCCTTACCCCAGGCACCCCACCTTCTCACTGAGGTCACTGCCTTAGCCCCTCCACCCTGCACACACAGTCCCAGCCTCCAACATCCCATATGCCACCTCTGTCCAACACCACTCACTACAGGAAGAGGTACAATACCCCCTTTGCACAAACACCCCAGCCCAAAGGCAACCCATATTTACCCTTCAGCTATGAAGTTCCTACCCCAGCAAGCCACTTCTATCCCAACCTGTCCCAGCAGCCCCAAGTGAAAAACATCCCTGCCCTAGGTGGGGGGACACAAGTGCTGGTTTGAAAGTAATGCAGGAGCCTTCAGCCCCATGCAGTTCCAAGGATCAGGGGTCCCAGAAGTGCAAGGAAGCGAGTTGTGCCACACTAGGAGGGAAGGGGAACAGGGCTGCTGTCCTACACTCCTAGCTGGGAAAAATGAAACTCTTGATTCTGCTGAGATCCATTGCAGTATGCAAGAAGCACTGCTTCAGCCCCAGGGGGTCCAGCCAGTCCTCACGGTTGGGGGCTGCATCCCATGTGGGGCCCGCAGTGGCTGAGCAAGCATGGCAGTGGAACACCGGAGGAGCCGGGAGCACGGCGAGTCCAAAAGGGCCAGGCTGGCTGGGGGCTGCAGTGGGGGCGGTGCGGTTGGATCTCTCACAGGCAGTGGGCACTTTCCGGAAAGGACCGTGTGGGAGGTGCCTGTGTTGGGCTAGATCAGGTGCCTTTGGGTAGGACAGGGCCGTCATCACGCTGCTCCACAGGTAGAGCGCAGTCGCTGTGACACCTCCACGATGTGGCTCCTTGGTCGTCTCATTCTCCCCCAGGCAACGGGTGCAGCTGGCTGAGGAGACATTGGGCAGCTCGGGCTGGGGTTGGCCAGGGGCTGGGGCTGGCTGGGCAGCCAGCTGGCACCTCCCCTCCTCAGGGAACAGCGCAGGCCGGGGGGCTGCAGTGCCGACACTCCTTATGCACACAGACCGGTGCACTACACTGATGGAGGCGAAGATGGCTGCGAAGCCCGTCAGGTACACCACACCCAGGAGGCAGGCCAGCTAGGGAGAAGCCAAATGTTAGCCCAGACACCCCCAGCAGCAGCACCCCCTGCTAGCTGTGATGTAGCATGGCCACAATCAACCCAGCAGCTGCAATAGGAAAAAGCATCACCAGCTCCAGGGCTGGATGCCGAGAGCAGGCAGCCACACTGCTAATGGTGGGCAGCACACAGCCTGCCCAAAGCTGGGCCTAAATATCACAAACCAAAATGTCCCAGCTAAAAGTCAACAGCTCCTGTTCAAAACCCTAGCTGGTACCCAGTTACCTCCATGCCACCACCATGTCCTTGCACTATGACTTGTGGGGCTGTGGTCCAGCACACTACCTAGCACCAGGCTGCAGTGCCTCAGGCAGTGCAGCTGCAAATCAGCACCTTCCGAGAGCTTCCCTTTTCAACACAGAATAATCCAAGGTGCTGGTCTTGGTGAAAAAGAGGGTCCTGCTCCAAATCCACAGCCTGCTGGGTCCCATGTTCTTGCAATTAGCTGCTCTCCTATGCCCTTACCTTCACCACTTGCTGGTAGAACTGGCCCAGCACATGCTGCCACATGGACTGCTCCATGAGGACACAAATATCTGTGTAGGTAAACCAGCCACGCCACATGCCCTGTTTTTCAGCCACACTGCAAGAAATGAAAAAAACAAAAAAAAAAAAAGGGGGAATGGTGGATATGGACCATGATATGAATGATATGGTCCATATCCAGGAATGATATGGACCTTCCCCATAAAAGCAGCTTCAACCCAGGCAGGTTTGGAGAAGACCCTGCTTAAGCTCTGTAGAAGGGAGCGGCAGAGCCTAGCTAAGGCTCAGATGTGTCCCAACCTCTTATTTCACTGCAGCAGGGCTATATCCAAGCAGGGACCAAGCCAGGCTACAACACAGATAAGGGATCATCCCCACCCTAGACACCTACCGTCCTTCCAGCCAGCTCAGCACTTCAAACAGCTCCCGAGGATCTGTATAGAGACTCCAGTCCTGCCAGGACAGCAGTTAAAGGTCAGTGCATTCAAGGCAGGTCACCCAGCACCCAGACACATCTTTCTCTCTCCCTTCATGGGAGCATATGGGACAAAAACAGAAATCCAGACTCCCCTCGATGCGAAACACTTGGCAACAATTACAGTTTTACTTACAATGGCGCTCAGGAAGTTCATCTCCAGTGTGTTCATGGTCTGGACATCCACCTTCCCTGCTGCTCCCCACTCATCGTTGAACACCTCCTCTTCCTCACCCTCATCATACAGATACTTACTTGCAACCATCTAAAAGTAGCACAAAGGACAGGATCTCAGCCTCCACTGCACTCACTTCCCACCAGCCCAGTTACTGCCCTGCCCACCGCTCACCATGGAGATCAGAAAGAGGTCTGAAGATGAGATCTGCTGGAGGTATTCAGGGTTCCTGTGCCGGAGTCTTTCAATGTAAACCAGTGCCAACATCATGGAACAGGGTGAGATGCAAGCTTCCCTGTAGGACAGGACAAGAACCAATGCCACAAACGTCCCAGGTACCAGGACACAATTTGGCTGCTCCCTCTCCATGCAGACAGTAGGAGGGTTTAGCAAATAGCTACGCAGATCCCAGCCTTGCCACCTCTGTGCCAGCTGTCCTGAGCTGCAGCACAGAAAGTGCCAGGGATGCAGGATGGAGAGTGAAAGCCCTGGTTTCTGTTCCCAGGCAGTCAGCTCCAAACTGAGCAGCCCGGCCTGCAGCAAGGCATGCTGTGAGGGCTCAGCTGCCAAGAGGAGACTCCAGGTCCAAATCTGGCTATCCAGGGTGCTGCAGATCCAGCCAGTACAGACTCTCAAGTAACAAGACCACATGTGCACCCCAGAGAGAAGGATAAACTTGAAGCTGGCTGCGTCAGGAAGTCACTGTGCCTGCTGTCTGTGCCTCCAGCTTCTCTTTGAGACTAATCAGACCTAGGCACAAAGCCAGTGGCTGGCCCAGGAGACAGAAGTGAGTCACAAGTAAGACCAGAGCTCCAAGTTCTGACACGGGACATGAAGGGACATGTTTCGCTTCTTACCGAGATACGTGAGACACATATTTCTTCTGCAGTCTGCGGATAGGACTGGGAGCCACTTTCTGCAGCAACTCCACAGCAATGTCTAGGACAGAAAAGCACCAAAAGAGTTAGTCTAGTGTGGCCCAGCCCATGACCACCTGTCCCCTCCTCCCTACAAGCCTATCAGGTCTTGGTGTTTGCTCAGCCCTTCAAGTTTAACTTAAACTATGAGGCCTTATGAGAGGTCAGGGACAAGTGAGGAACAAACAAACATGCAGGGCAGGCAAATCACAGCAGGAAGAGGATGTGAGTGACCAAGGCCCTGCGGCAGTGCCAGATCAGCAGGTCTGTGTCACAGGGAACCAACAGCAGTCAGCTGCACAGAAACATCCTGCCCTCACCCTGCAGGACTTCAGACAGCCCTTCTGGAGGCCTTCTTGCTTCTTGGGCCTGATGTCACACCACATCTTCATGGTCCTTTGCTCCCCTCCAACCACCAGCATCTTCCCCCTCCAGATCTCAGCAGCATGGATCCAGCCCACCCTACACCACCCTGAGATGATGAAGCACCAGGTACCCGTGTGACCAGGAGCCTGAAGGCATTAACAGGTAGCAAAGCACTGATACAGTATAACTGCAGCTCAGCCTGCTTTCCCTGCACTCAGGAGGTGCTGCAGCACTCAAGCACAGACACTGACATATACTGGCAGATGGCTCCAGCAG